AGCGAGAGGAGACATACAACCCACTGGCCAGAGACATCGCCAACTGTCAACTGGGGGGTTGTAAACGAGGCCGAAGGGGTGAAGGCTTAGAATCGAGTCTGGTCTCTTTGTGAGTGAGTCGGGTGTTTTGGGAGCATCACCCGATGGACTTGTGCAGCCATCTGCCCTGCTGGAGGTTAAGTGTCCACACAGCCAGAGGAACATGACCATCGCGGAGGCAGTCCAGTTACCATCCTTCTGTCTTCGTGAGGAGGGTGGGTCATATATTCTCAAGGAGAATCACCCATACTGGCACCAGGTCCAAGGGCAGCTGCATATCACAGACCAGAGTCTCTGCTACTTTGTTGTGTGGACCACGAAGGAGGTGATCATCATCCCCATCCCCAAAGACCCTGCATGGCATGGAAATCTCCTCCTCCTGGAAAAATTCTACACCCAGCATATGCTCCCTGTGTTGGCCAGTAGAGGTAGATTGTGGTGGAGATGCTGAGCAGTTATTTAATTGTTGCATGTAATTATTATTATTCTGCGTGCTTCTTAGTTATTCCATCTTTTGCTGTAACATGGATCTGTATGTAACTCTATATTTACTTGTTATCTACCACTTCCTTCTACATCATACACCATCATTATACATGATGGTGTATATAGGATATATATATTTGTATACATATCTGTAAATTGTATAATTTTATTTAAACATCTTTTTGATCTCTCAAACTGAGTAAAATTGACAATAAAGTTGACTTTGAAAAATATATATATTCTTTATGAAAATAGTTGACTGTTGTCAAATGAATCCAAATGAAACGTTGGACTGAACTACAACTACGCCTTTAAATCTCTACGGACTGTTTTTCAGTGGGATGGCAAGTTCCTATCTTTAAACATTTATTAGTTTTTTCTCAGAACAGATTTGATTTTCTGAAGTTAATTTAACTTTGCCGACCGTGTAAGGTCATCATTAAAAGGTACAATCAATTTGTTTAGGGTTGACTAAAATAATGAAAAACATTCATTTGGATAATTTACTGACAGAATAAGAAACTCAATGATGCTCTACTCACCTGTTCCTTTTTTATAAAGTGAAACAGTTGAAACGATAGATTTGAGTAAACTTAAAAACAACCTTCTCCAAAAGCTATCAAGGAATATACCGAATACTTACAATACAATACCTGTTACTCATATATTAATGTCTTTGTAACTTCAGTAAACCACTACCTCACTCATTTCTTTCATTCATCACGGTTCAGTAAACTAAGTGATACATGAACCAGTTTAATCATTATAATAACGTAGGATGGCAACTCTTTGAAACTGTAGGTGGCTCTTAAAAGAGCCGTTGTGTTTGGGTGTGCTGGTCTCAGGTCAGTCTAAGCCCTCTCTCCACGGATGCGGCGGGCCAGCTGGATGTCCTTGGGCATGATGGGGACCCTCTTTGCTTGGTTCATCTTACTGGGGGGCAGCTACATGGATGTCGGTGCAGTCCACAATCATTGTGCAGTTGAAGGCAGAATTAATGTATTATTGACTCCGAATGAAGCACAACTTCATGTCATACAATACAATGACTTTATTTGTAACTGTGTAAAAAAATATGAGCATTGATTAGCAAGCAGGACCTGCAGGAACAGAGAATGGTGATGGATGGAGCTGGGAAGAGAGAAGAATAAAGAAAACAGATCAACTTTATTATCGGATATTAAAAATTCAATTTCAAAACAAGTTGCCACTCCTACAGTTTTCTAGTATGTAAAGATGATTTCACATGACCTATGCAAAATATCACACTCAATACATGTGTGTCTCTGGGGGGTGCATTGTGCCTTTGATGTATATAAATAATATACCATAACCAAATACTATTACGCATGTTCCTCAACGTCTCAGCAGTTACAGGTGAGGTAAAGAAAATAAAAGAGAAAAAGGTCAGTAACAACACTTAGTTTAAAGTAACAACACTTAGTTTAAAGTAACAACACTTTGAAACACTTTGAATAATTATCTCTTCTAACTATTTTCTCTCAATAAGCACACAACGACTGTCTTTCCAACAAACAGATTGTCATCACAATGAAACACGTCCAGAAGAATGTCATGCAAAGCTCCATGCCTGCCTTCGACTCTCCCTGAACTGCTTCCTTAGCACCCGGTGGAGGGCGCAGTAGGCTACTCTTCAAATGTTTCACGAAATACTTACCATCATGTTTGGTTACTGTTTAACATTTTGGTTTACTTCGTGTAATAAAATAATAACTTCATGGTAAGGCTACTAAAAATGACAAGGCTAAGTAATGTAATGCTAACTAACGTGCTCGCTACTCGTCGCTACTAGCTAGGTAGCTAACTTGACTATGTTCCATGCACAACATGTATATTACCTATGATATTACCTGATATGTCTGATCCAGCGACTCCTGGTCCTTTCATCAGACGGGAATCGATAGAAGGAGCAAGTGGTATGATCACTTTTATGACTACAACCTGGTACAAAGCACACAGGCATCTTGTAAAAGTGAATTTATTTGTAGCGATCTATAATTTATTGGAGGGAATAAATCAGTTATGAGATCTTCTTCTTCTTCGCTTTAATTACGAGTCTTATTATAAATCACCGAGCATGCCTGTGACATCACTTACGCGACCCAGAATGGGATTTGGGATTTGTAGTCTTTGTAGTAGCGTATTTTTCATAGTCTTATATTTCAGCAGTTTTACGACAAAATGTGACTTTTTTGACCTGGAAATGATTGTTTAAGATTGACAAACATCATATGTGTAGTTCGTGGCACAATTCAAACGTGATCAAAAGATACGTGTTCTCTCTCCATTGAATTCAATGTACATTTTTCACTTCCGGGGTCCCATGGTCCGGAAGTAGATGGGCGTGACTTCGCCTCTCCATAAACATTGAGGGGTATGAATACAATATACACAGCAGCCTGAGAGCAGTGTGTATGAATATGCTAAGATATATAAAGTATGAAAACGGTAAGCAGTGCAAGTATAGTATAAAATATATGGATATTAATTTAATGATGATAAATATTGTGGAACAATGATGAAAAATGGGAATGGATGTGGCGACGTAAAACTGACACAAAACAACAACAAACTTTTGCCAGCCAATTGGAGAGTTTCATCAGCAGCACGTGGTAAAAACCACCAATGAGCGCTCAGCTCGAGATACCAGCGAGCCGTTTCCCATCAAGCATTTCGCTTCTGCAGCCCGTGGAGAGCAACTGCGCCGCCTCGCCTCGCTCTCAAGGCTGCGGGCGTCTTTGTGCCGCGAAATTTCAAAGTCTCATGTGGGCGGGCCTCCAGAGCAAGTCGGACAAAATGACTAACCATCATGCAACGCACTAGCAAGACGTTGATCGCAACTGCGCAGGTCTGCGCAGGTCTTGCTTGTCTCAAACAAGCCTAACGACTCGCTGGTATCTCGAGCTGAGCGCTCATTGGTGGTTTTTACCCCGTGCTGCTGATGAAACTCTCCAATTGGCTCGGCAAAAGTTTGTTGTTGTTTTGTGTCAGTTTTACGTCGCCACATCCATTCCCATTTTTCATCATTGTTCCACAATGTTTATCATCATGAAATTAATATCCATATATTGTATACTATACTTGCACTGCTTACCGTTTTCATACTTTATATATCTTAGCATATTCATACACACTGTTCATACTGCTCACAGGCTGATATATATTCATACCCCTCACTGTTTATTCATCATTCAATTCATTCTATATTTTATTCTGTCTATTGTGTACATTACTTTTCACTTTACTGCTTGTTGCACCTGGTTAGAAGCTAAACTGCATTTCGTTGTCTCCTGTAATATGTGCAATAACAATAAAGTTTAATCTAATCTTGAGCAGGAACAAATTTATTTACTTAGTACATATCTGACATTAATGATTAAACACATGTGTGCATTCTTTATAAATGCAAACCGAGTCAAGCCGACAACGATTATCGGCTATGCCAGAAGGACTGTAGCCTGTTATGAATGTATGAGTGAAATGCACGCTGGTAACATTTCAAAGGTAACACATTTTTAATGAAGCAGCATGAAGACTGTTGCCTCTGATGATGTTACATGTCGTGAGCATGTCAAATCAAAGAGTCACTTAGGGAACAAGACCATTAATGTCTCCTCCCCATACTATTCATAATGCATCTCAGGATCACTGACTTTCTAAACTCTGATGTTGAAAAACATATCCATTCAATGCAGAAAACTTAATTTCGTTCACTTAAATAAACCTGCATCTCTGGTATACTAGTTGAACCTGAAATGAACCTGAAATCAGCTAAATATGAATCCTTAAAGTAAAAATACTGCACACTGGAAATACTCTATTTCAGTAAAAGTCATGCATTGAAAACACAAGTTATAAATATAATCAGATAATGTAGCCTACTTAAAGTCTCAAAAGTAAGCATTGTGCAGTTTCCTGACAGCGTGTTATAGCCTACTATGATGTTGTCAGACTTATTAAGGAGAATATAAAATATCTTCTTATGAGATGTTGTGAAGTATAAAGTTGTATGCAAAGAAAATAGTAAAAGTAGGCTGCCTTGATTTGTACCCAAGAACAGCACTTGCGTAGATTTACTCCGTTACTTAAGTTTCAACCAATGATGACAGGACATGGATCACGTATAAATAGTAAGGAAGAATAGTTTCGATAGTTAGGACTAGAATATTGTTTTTATCGGATCTCTTCACGTGTTTTCAAATCGGAAATTCGGGAAATCCAAATAACCCGGAAAAATCACATCCCTGTATTTTGCTATTTGCACAGCTTTGATAAATATGCCCTCTAAACAGATATTACTTTTTCTATTTGTATTCCTGGGAAAACACTGTTGCTGCTAGACCTACAAAACACTCCTCTTTAAAACTCCACCGACTGATCGCGAGGGACAACAACACAGCCATTTGTGCACATGCCAATGCACAAATTATGCACATGCAACTTATTTCAAATACCTGTGTCGGATCATCTCCGCGAGAAACCACCAGAGCTCCTTGAGCCTGAGTTGGGAGAAATATGCAAACACAAAACCACAGCAGCATGACTCTCCACGGTGCAGGCATGGCTGGGAAACAGAGGAGCCTCTGCACTGACATTGCTGAAAACAAGTGAATAGGGAATTCGAGGCATGTGGGAATCAAGACTTCCCACAATACTTTTTACTCCACCCACCCACGTAACTCAGGAGGAGGGACCCCCTCAGTAGTGTGGTGTTATTGAGTGTGTGTGCGTCAGTGCTTCCCGTAAAAAGGCCTACAAGTGCATGTGCGGGAAACTCATCAACTCAAATTATACAAATCAAGACTTGTTTATCCAGCGGGAGTTCTTCTTACGTCTGTGTTTACATGTGTTCACTACAAGCTTAAAGGGCATGTGCATAGATTTATGCATTTCTTCTACATTATAAAAAATATATTGACCATAAGACTTACAATTATTGCTGTACATGTTGGTATTCTTTAGGTTGAATTAGGACATTTAGACTTTTTTTAAATGAAGAAAGGTTTCAACAATTTGTACCCCGCTATGGTAACGTTTATATAAATGATGTGGTTTTGGAGTCCCACAGTAGACCTCACATGAACTGTTACAGAGCTTTTTCTCAGAGTTGCGCTGCCTGGAAACAATTTGGATCCCACTAAACATCCTGAGAGATCCTGATACAGCAAACATTTAAACTACGATACAAAAAGCAGGGTGCACCAGTGTGGAACGTTGGGATTTTAGCCTTTGCGGACCATTTACATGCACAGAAAACTATATACTGTAACACTCTACAGTAAAACTATCAAACATTTTCAAATAGATCTTTTGAAAAACAGAAAAGGATATAAAGAAATCCAGCTCTAGTCAATCATTAAGAAAAGTGTCCCATTAATTTCAGTACAATTTATTGAGGTTTATCCCACCTCACACTTTTTTGTGATAGTGTCCATTTTTATAAGACCCAGAATTACACTGATAGAAACTGTGAAACGTTCTATACAATGCTGTGAATGAAGTATGTTTGCCATGGTGTAAAACAGGCATATTTGTTATTGTATGAATTATTATTTATTTGATGGACATTGAGTAGCCTAACCTGTTTTTATACAGTTTTAAAAAGGCCTGAAATAATGTAGTCTGTTGCATCTCCATCGATGAGGCCTGTTCCGTTACTGTGAACGAACCAGCAGGGAACATTTTCTCCATTCTTCACATCCTTCCTGAAGTCTCTCTGCCAGCCTCTGTGGACAGAAATGTACACCAAATTATATCTTAAGTGCATGTATATAGCAACATCGATGTATTCATTTTTAAACACTCATTGAATGCTGACTCTCCCCCACTGAGATGAGGCGTGGGTTAATGCATGCAGCGTACCTGGTCACATTGAGCTCCTGGCCTTTCACATACATGGTGGCGTCCGGTTTCTCCGGGACTTCCCCCGGACGCAGATCTGACACCTCATATTCAATCCCATGGTAGAACTGACCTGCAAGACAAATCACCATTTCAAGTAAATATCATTTTAAAATAAAGGTATTTTGGCCCTGTATCCCACCCCCTATTAAAAATAAAAAAACAACAAGAGGTGGGAGAGTCCAAAACAGTGAAGTCATTTGATAAACCGTACCAATTTTAGCCACTTTAATGTCTTTCACTGACCTTTTTATATTGTATAATATTTTTCCGGTTGCAGGATAAGGTACAATTCTACCTGAGCTGGCAATGCAATGTGTAACCTTTACATGTTGATAATTATTAGTTACCATGTGCACCATATCAGACCAATCATAAAACACAGCAACACATATTATGGAAACACATCCATGGGCTGCTCTGAGGAGAAACCAAAGTATGTTCAGAAATGCAATACCCATCACTTATCTTGACCTGGTATTAAACTATAAACCATGCATCTATTCTCTGATGTGTGTCATGTTGTACCTAACAGGCCGTGAACAAGAGGGGACAGGAGGTGGCTGTCCAGGGTGTAGAAACCCAAGTAGTCCCGATGATACGGATGCTTTGCCCACACTTTGTGGAGCAGGACGACAAACTTGACCGAATCCTTTAGAGTCACCGTTAGGCTGCGATCCTTGGTCAAGAGAAGATCCACACTGGAGGTGAAATAAGAAGAGGAAGTTGCCAGTTATTTCTCCTAAACTGGATGGTATACTTCATTTAACTCATGTAGGAGGAGGATAGTTCTCTTTCACTGAAGGAGAACACAATGTGATGGTGCAGACTCTTACTTGGTTCCTTTGACAGAAGCTGTATCAGACCACAGCAGTTTGACCTGTTTGCCGTCCTGGAGCACCACGATGTCCTGAGTGCTCACCTCCAGCCTCACCCCCAGAGACTGGTGGACGATGCCAAAACGCCAAAAGTAGGTGTTAATTTGACCATCAGGGGGAATCATCTTCTCTCCGATGGTCTCACCATTGACCAAAATACCTGAGGAAAAAACGAGGATTGAAGCACTTGTTTCTCAAATGCAGATTTACTTCAACATTTATGAAAAGAGAAAAAGAAGGTCTGCAGATAATATTTCTAGTATGGTGTTTAAAAGTCATGATGATTATCAGGACTTAGGGCGGACCTGGTATTGGGTCTCTGACCAGGTTGAAAATGGTTCCTGGTTTGTTGTTAATGTTGAAGCACAGCGCGTCGTCCCTTTCAGGAAGCTCAATCAAGAAATGAGGATCTCCATCCACTGTAGGGGACAACAGAGTTTAAAGATACCAGTAATAAACAAAAAATATAGTTTACAGCTATGCTAGCAGCTCGTTTACAGCTAGTTTACAGCTATGCTAGCAGCTCTGTGAGGCTGTACAAAGGCACAGCAGTGCATTGAGCTAAATGCTAATAGCTGCATGCTAACATGGTCACAATCACAATAGGCTACTAACATTTTATGTTATATGTTAAGCAGGTGTAATGTTTAGCCTATCATGTTGACCATTTCAGTTAAGCAAGTTAGCATGCTAATATTAGCTTGTTAACGATAAACAAAATACTCAAAATAACGATAAGATGTCTCAATGCAAGCGTAAAGGTTTTGGCCTGATAGTGGCACTAAATGAAAAGTCAGCCAAGTACTTTGCCGTACTTAGTTCCCAGCACTTAGCACCCTCCATGGAACTAAGTACAGATCGCGTTCACACCGGAATAAGCCCCTGAGGGAAGATTACGCAAATGAAGCCGCTGACGTCACTTCTTCTTCTTCTGCTTTGGATTTACTGGCAGGCCGCAAACAACGTCCCCGGCCGGAAGTACCTGGAGTTGGCGAAGCCTTTCCGAGTAAGCTGTAGTGTGGACGCTCCTTCGCCAGAACGCCGACACCTCCTGATCACTCCACCGCTCCCATGTTTTTTTTGTGTTGCCAATAAGTTATTCTCTCTCCGTTGGTGCGCGGGGCTAATGCTAATAATGATAATGCCAGCAAATACAATGGCTGCTTCTAAAGTAAACAGATATTGTTCTAAACTGTATTAAAGTAAACAGGTATTATCTTGAACTGTATTGAAGTGAACATGTATTATTTGGGACTGTTATAAAGTAATCCTATATAAACCTTCTCACTTACACTCACTGACCCATATATCAACACACACACACACACACACACACACACACACACACACACACACACACACACACACACACACACACACACCTCCTCAAACACACACACACACACACACATGTTCTGTTCAAGGTTCTTTCTGGGGGCCAATATAATCTCAAGCACCAATATATCTGTGTACAATGTTTGATACCAATATATCTTTGTACAATGTTTGATTGTTTGGGAAAGAATAGTTTGTGTGAAACCTTCCTTGGGAAGTTAAAGGAGTGAAGTTAGGTGGAAGATAAAGATTGACTCTGCCGTTGTCTACTCACACTCTGTTCAGAAGTAAGGTACCAATATATCTGTGTACAATGTTTGGTTGTCTGGGAAAGAATAGAGTTTGTGTGAAATCTTCCTTGGGAAACTAAAGGAGTGAACTCAGGTGCAAGAAGGAAGTGAAGTGACGCTCCACCCCAAATATGTCCATATATACTGTTGTTTATTCATGCAAAATGCCCCCTGTTTCTGACTGGCTGGTCCCGATATCTGTATCGCACGGCAGTAGAGCGGGGAGCCCGGAGTGCTCTGTTACAGGGCACTCTGTATTTCGTATTTTGTTTTTTACCATTAAAATCAGATTATTGTTATAACTTTTATGCCGGTGTGTTGAACTCCTTCTTTTATTAATCTGACCAGGCTCATCTAAACGGACGGCGCGGAGCAGAGGTGGGCTTTAAGCCACCACTACTGTGTTTGCTTCTACACTTCACAAATCTTTTCCGAGTTTTACGGGGCGTAGTTCGCCCAGCCAATCAGAAATTGGAGCTTTTTTCTCCCCAGGAAAGTAACTGCTCTCTAGCAGGCCCAGGAACTATCGGAACTAAAAGGGGAAAATACTTCGGTGTGAAAGCGCCTATTAAAGGTAGGGTAGGTAATTCACTTCAGAAACACTTTTTGTTATTATTCCATGGAATACTCTTAACATCCCGATAGCAATGAATAAATTAAATGCTTTGACAATAAATATATACAAATATGTAATCTGTGGAAGCCTTGGCTGTAAAAAGCAAGTCCAGTTATCTGCCCCGATCCGCGGCAGATAACTGTCAGCCTTCCATCTGTGCACAAACTTATCTTGTGCCCTCATTGGTCATGTGCGCGTAAGGAAGTCTGAAGGAAGGGGCAGATTTTTTTCGGTTGTGTACTTTCAAATTCTAGCTTACTCAAGCTGGTTTCTCCACTTTTACCTACCCTACCTTTAACAAAGTCAGATCACCCTTGAAAAAGAGATCTTTTGATCTCAAGGGGCTTTCACCCGGTTAAATAAAGGCTACAAACAAACAAAGACATCATCCTCTGAGGACAATAATGTTTGTCCAGAATGTATTGTCAATTAATTTAATAGTTTTGAATATAGACTAACAGACAGACTGACATTGCCATCCCAAGATCTGCAGCTGCCATTGCTACAAATGTACTTACCTAAATATGTGGGTGTTGAATGGTAATAATTTGAAACAGGTCGGAGGGCCTGTGCAACCTGTGGATGTCTTTGATATCCTAGAGACAGTAATAAAAAAAAAGTTTTAAATCAATAGCCTACAGTGAATTCACTTAAGTCAATGAATATAATGTTATAAATACTGGCTTACCAACTCGTTCTTCCTTTTGTCTTTGCTCTGTAAAAAATTCACATTTCAAACACAATGAGTAAAAACTAATAGTCAGTGATGCTTGAGAATGATTTAAGGTCATGTTTTGTTTGTAGATTCCTAGCAGCCATGTGAGGTTGGCCTATTTTGGCGCGTTTCCACTGCAGCGGGTAGCTCGCTAAACCTGCCGTGCCGTGCGGGGCCCGTTTTTGGTTGCGTTTCCACTTGGCCTAGTACCGGCTAGCGGGTCCTAATTCACAGTTTTTTTGGCCCCATAAATCGTGGTTCTAGGGCCAGGAACAACCAGGCTGAGTCGGGCTGAGTATGCTAAACTAGAGAGAGAATCGCTGGCAAGGGGGCTACAACTACAACAAGATGAACATATTTGACCGTGATTTAATTGTAATACACGTTTCAAAATGATGCCGAAGTAATAACATACTAATACCGGTTAGTAAAAACCATGAATTAATGCTTTGACAAGTCTGCAGACAGACGGCAGGCGAAAAACCCTTTTAAAATGCGTGTTTTCTAAATGGAGCTTGGCTAAGCTAACGTTATATATGCTCCGACCGTCCACACTCACAACAACGGCCTATACAGACATAAATAAACCAGCGACTGTATTCGCCATGACACAGGCAGTCTGTGGTTTGTACTTGTTTAACTGTTGTCTAGTTTCTGAACAGATATGAAGTGAAGAGCTGTGAGCTCTGAGTGCTAACAGCTAACGGCTGTGTTGTTTTTCTGGGGCGCTCATTGAAGATGACGTCACGGCTCCGCCTACACTGCGTTACTATAGTAACTGCCCCAGTTCCTAAACTGTAATGGAAGCGCAGCATTAAAGTGAGCCGGGCCTAATAAGGCCTAACCAAACCGAGCGAGGCCTGCAGTGGAAATGCGCCAAAATGAAACCCTCTTTTCCCCACCTTACCCTCAGTCAGTTTATCTGCAATGAAAGGGCTGTCTGGTCCATCCTCAGTGTCAGGCTTGGTGACCACCATGGAGGTGAGAGGCGTGACAAAGCTGTATTGCAGAGACATGTCCAGCGCCTTGGCACTGGCGTTGGATTTCTCCTCTGGGGTACCACTCTTGCTGCAAGAAGGAAAATATAGTAAAGTTCACACCGCATTCAGAATAACAACATGGTAAGTGGACTGTATTTATATAGCGCTTTATTCAGTCTTTACGATTCATCAAAGTGTGTTACATATACAAGTCTTCATTCACGGTACCACCTGCTCAAGGAAGCTAACGTCACATTCACACACCGTAGTCCATGCTGTCGGGAGCAACTTAATGAATTATCTTGCCAAAGGATACATCTAACCCAAAACCCAAAACCTTCCAAAAGCACGACCTCACTGAAATGTATACAAGCTCTCACACAACACAGACAAAGTATCAATAACAAAAATGTTCATGAGACTAATGGTAAATAAATATTTAAAAGCTAAAGTGATTCAGGTCTCAGTTTGAGTGAATTGACTCAAACAGACCTTGTCTCCAGTAGCTGCTGGATGGTGAGGTAGGCCCACAGACGCTCTGTGAAATCCCCAAAGATGTATTCCTCATCTGGGTACAACACGTCCCAATCCTCAACACTGGCCTGGCCCTGCACTTTAAAGTCCTCATCAAACTAGAAGCAGGAGAAATCATATTAAAAGTAATAAATAGGTAATAAACGCACAACATCTTTCCAGTGTCTCTAAATGTCCAACATTTCCTTCTCCTCACCCCCTGAGCGAACACTTCCACCATGAAGTTGTCCAGGTCGTTGTCCGTCAGTCGACCTGCCACCACGATCTCTGAGCCGTTAAACAGCTGACTGTAGTGGTTAGTCGTCAGGGAGTCCACTGCGTTCTCAGGATAACGCAGGTCCACCTCCAAGAGCAGAGGGCTGGCCACCTCCTCATAGAAACCCTGGAACAAATATGTCATCTCATTATAGTGTATTAGATTTGCTAGCCCCATGCCTCCCATTTCCCAACCTGCCAGTCACACTGACACTATACGTCAGGCGTGTTGGGTACAATGAACTTCAGTCTGGAGTCAGCCCTTGCTTTTGCCCCCTTTCCTGCTCCTGTCCAGGACCCTTTCGAGGCTACCAAGCAGCCCGAGCCCCAGCCTCCATGCTTCAGGCTCCAGTTCCCATGGCCTGTCGGCGTTTCGGCCCACTCAAGAGCCCCGTGTCCTGTTTTACTATAATCTAATCCAAAACAGTGATTACATCACTGGGGAAGAATGTAACGTAGCTATTTCATAATTTCACACTCTGTTCTATGTTATTTTATTATTACATGAGTTTACTTATCCCTGCATTTTAACTGCACCATTGTATAACTTGCACTATATTTATTGCACTATTTTACATCCTTATTTCTTTAATGTATTACGTATATTGTATGTTGCCAACCACTACGCTTGTCACAGTCTGCTCCCTCACTTAGCTATTTTCTGCATTAGCATTTCTCAGCCACCTTAGTCACCTGGTAGTCACACCCTGTTTCTCTCTCACACTCTGTTACACCCATCAGCTCCACTATAGGCCCTCTTCACTCTCACCTCAGGGCCAGATCGTACTTCGCAGCATGCAGTTCTTTCCCGCATTACCTCCCAGATTGCTCTCCCGGTTTCGACCTCGTCTGTCCCAGCCTGTACCTGGATTATTCTGCCTCGTCTGCCCCCTGACCCTGCCTGTACCTGCGTCTCCCGTCTTGCCTACTCCTGGAACTCTCGCCTGTCCCCGACCAGCCCTTTGCCTACTGTCTGCCGGTTTGTCTCATACCAGAACTTTTCAGTTGAAACATTTTATAATAAAGCTGGTTACCGATGTCCCCTGGTTTCCCGTGTGTTGCATTTTGATTCTCAGCTCGTTCGAGACAATGCTGTAGCTATTTTTTATATGAAAATAAAACCTTTTGAATCTCCACAAGAACTGCATTAACGGCTCAAACGTGTTTTATAGATTTGAGCCTGTACCTGGAGTTGTACGGCTGCATCTGAACCCTCATAGATCCTGCGGGCCATTCCCTTGTTTTGTTTGCTCATCACATCCAGGAAGGAGTATTCCACATCATTTCCGAACCCAAGACAGAACAGAGACATGTTTCCTCCCATGGCAGAGTGCACATTTGTCTGGATTTCCCCAATGTTAGACACTCCTGCAAACGTAGATAAAACATGCAGGTGTTGAATGCTGAATACAAAGAACATCAATTAAATGTGTAGAAACACAACACACAGTATATCCTATGCACACACTCTGCACGCTCACCAGCGTTTGGCATCCCATCAGTGAGTAAAATTATCATATCGATGCTCCTCTCTGGGAGTTTCTCCTCCTGCCTGTCTTTGACCAGCATGTTCACGCCTCTCAACACTGCATCGTTGATATTGGTTGCTAGAAAAAAACACAAGAAATTGTAAAAATGTAAAGTATGACGGTGAGTTTCACTATTTATGGAGTTAAGAGGAAATGTAAGCTTATAAGCTAGTGTCAGTTGTTTATTGTTGTTTTCTATTTACATCCGCTGTCCACTATCCTGCTGACATATTTCATCGCTTCATCCAGGTTTTCCTTGGTTGCTTTGGTCAGTGACTCTTTCCAAGAGTCGATTGAGTCATCAAACTGGATGACGGCAAAGTGGTCGTCCTCGTGGAGGTCTTTGAGGATGGCCAGCATAGCTTCCCGTGTCTATAAAGGATTGTCAGAGGGCAAATTGTAAGCATGTGGCCATTCAAATATCAGAAAGACATTGAAATACTGAACAGTCATCCACCTGTGCCATCTTTGTTCCATGCATTGATCCACTCCTGTCAATCACAAACACAACGTTCTTTGGGACTCTGGGCAGGTCAGGGGGAGCAAAGAAGTGCACAAAGTATCCGTTCACAATCTGAAGGAGAGAATCAATAAAGAGCAGAAGTGCACTGATAAGAGTGACAAGGCAAGATAATAATTAGTATATATATATATATATATATATATATATATCTCATTGACTCATTTTATACCGAAACCCTGAGAGGAAAATGATTTTAAAAATCTGGTGATCCTTTTTTCAAATCTAATTTTGGAAAACACGTGGAAAAAAGTCAAGGCCTTTTTTTTTACATGTGCATACGTGTATTTTGTTTGTTCTCTTAAACCAAGTGTGATACATAATTATGGTTGACACACATTTTAAGACAAAAGACATACACAATCTCAACTACCCCATCTTATTAAGAATATGGGGTAGTGGTGATTTTGTAAGGCTCTTAGGGCCAATATAATGTTCCCTACTTGTTTTCATAGAGGAAAAAGTAAAGAATAAACCAACGAAAACATATTCTTACCTCACAAACAGAGGAAAGAGTTTTCTCACTTTCATCTCAGGGCTGCGTAATTCATGTTGTTGGGCAACAGATTCATGCATTAATTTAAATTGTACAATTCAGCCTTCAGGCCCCACGCAACACAGACTGTTGCAATATTGTGCAATACACACACACATACTATAATATCACAACACCTTAACATGTTTACTTAGCTTTTAAAATGTTGCCACTATTTTTTCTATATTAAATATGTTAGCTCTTATTATTGTTTTCTGCTAATTCACTAGAACAATATTTCTGACAGCTGACCTGAATGTCCCACTGGCTCTTTGCTCGGTTCACGTCATACGTGACGAGAAAATCTCCGTCGATGAGAGTTCCTTCACAATCTGGACACTTCCTCTGTTCCTCCATAGTTGGTGAGAAAGAGATGTGGGCCTGAACATGGGAACAAATACAACCAATTTAGCTTATCTCTAAATCTTTGGAAGAAGTTTGAGTATCATCATCAGAGACAACTTCTTTCGAGGTCTGTGGTCGTACCTTATTGTCTGTGACGCGTTTATCCACCAGGGGGAGCAGCTCATTGGAGAGGAAGGTTGCATGGGCATCCACATAAGAAATACCCTTAGGCTCATAGATGTTGGTCACAATCTGTCTCCACACAGGCAAACACAGAAACAGAGATTGTTTGTAAGGTAAACCACTCATTTCCTGTATTTGAAATCTTAAAGAGACAGTGAAGTGAACATGAAAATGGATTCACCTGAAACTCCTGGACCCGTTGTTTGGGTTTAACTCGGGTCAGAATCTCATACCGGCCCAGCTTCCTCTGAAGGAGCTCTTCGTAGGTCAGAATGAACGTCACGTTACTTTCAGCTGCGATGTTGACAGACACTGAAAACTTCTCCATCTTTCTTCCTGAAGCCCTGTAATGACCCAGACATCATTGACAGCCTATAATGTTAACCCATGCTACAGTACACAAATACAGTATGATCATTTTTTTAAATGTATTTTATTCTGGGTTTATGCAATAAGTAGATTGATTTAAATACTTAAGTACAAATATGAGGTACCTGTACTTTACCTTGGGCAATTGCTTTTCCTGCTACACATACATTTACTCCACAATTCAGAGGTAAGGTTGACGACTATAAGGTTATAACATATGCTCCATGTTTACCTGCTACAACAAACAAAATAATGCAACAATAATTATAATACATTATTTTGAAGTTGGCCATTCTGCTTATTGAGTACTTTTTGTACTTTAAGTATGGGCTGATGCTAAAACTTCTGTAATTTTACCTAAGTAACATTTTGAATGCAGGACTTGTACTTGTAATAGTATTTCTACACTGTTGCAGTTTTATCTTTTACTTAAGAACAAGATCTAAGTAGTTCTTCCACGTCTGGGTTTTTATGTGTTGTTCATCTTGATTGACTCACTTCACCAATCCAGCAGTCTTTCCAGAGGAAACAGCCTTCTCATATTGTTTCTTAGCTTTCTCTTTCTCCTTTATATCGCCAACGTACACCTGACCATCGATTTCCCTGTGAGGAAGAAAGGTAGAGAACAAAGTCAACTTACTGTATCATTAAGAAAAAACATCTTAATGGGGCCCTTTATGTTTTTTGGGGGTTTTCCTTGTCCTGTAGTGTGTCAAAGTAAAAAATTCCAAAGTTGCCCGAAACTCCTCCTTTGGACTCCTTTGTTTACTTCGGTTGACCAATCACAACAGAGCCAGCCAGCTAACCTATCAGAGCAGACTGGGCTCTGGTTTCAGACAGAAGGTGAAAAGAGGTGCAGCAGCAACATTAAAGATCCCATGTCATGCTTTTCCGGTTATATCCCGTCCCCTTGTGTGTTATGAAGGTTTTTAGGCATGTAAACGGTCTGCAGAGTCAAAAACCCTCAAAGTAAACCCTGTAGGGAGTAAAACTCTAACACCTTCCCAAAACGCCTCGTTGGAGATTTCTCATTTTCCAATGTTTTCTTCCTGGGTATCGTGACGTAGGGATACCCAGTAGCCACGCCCAGAGCTATGGCCGCACCCTCTGCCAGCCGAACATATATAGATAGAGTGGCGAAGTCCCTCCCTTTCCGGTGGACCTCCATGGGACCTTATTTCGGAAAAATTATGTATTGAAGTCAATGGAGAGAGAAAGATTATCTTTCGATCCCGTTTGAACTGTGCCACGAATTACACATATGATGTTTGTCAATTTAAAAGATAAACATGTAAACATGTTCTTGCTAGCCTAATATGAACCACTAGCTGTTGTTCATAGTAGGTTGGCATATTACACTGAACAACTAGCAAAAGTAGGTTAGCATATTAATCTAGCTGGCAAGCTAACGAACCTAAAACAACTAAGTTTCTCTAATATTTTGTCATTTGCATTTGATTTCGTCCAGCCAGATCAGGAAACTCCTGGCGTATCCGGCGGACAACACATGACGGGATGACCACTCTGATGCCTCGTCCTAAAAAGCCACAGCACCAACTTACAAAGCTGCGATAGGCAAGATGCCGAAAACCCCTATAAGGGGAGGAATGGATGATATACAGTGTATATATGTATATTTACACATGTTCATTTTGTACATTTCTAAAAATAAAGTTTGATGGAAATACTTAGTAGCCTTTCCTCCCTGAATTATTTGCTCCTATAACATATCATTCATATAAAGCAAACCATGATTTGATTTTTCATCTAACACAGTAGTAGTTTATTACAGGTACAAATAACTTACTCTTCTTCCGTTCTATGCCTCAAAGGTCTATAATTGAATCTGTACATGTTATGGAGGTTCTGCAGGGTGTGGGGTATGTATGGTGTATATCTTGGCATATAATGTTGTGTGCTACTGTTTTCATCTAGCTGGCTACATAATGTAGTAACTGTCAGCTAGGCCACCTTTCTAATTTCTTTGCAACAGACGTTTTCCACTTCGGTAGGCATCATGGCGCAGTTTCCACAAGTGCACCAAAAATAACAACAGTTGTAGGTACAGTTCGGTTAGTTAGCGTATAACATATACGGCTGTACCGACGCCATTGTAAAAAAAAGCACTGTTAGACATGGGCGGAGCCTCTCTGGTGGTTGACTAATCAGAACAGAGTGGCCGAGCTGACCAATCAGAGCACACTGGGCTCACAGGGAGGGGGGGGGGGGGGGGGGCAGGAGCTCCAACAAGCCGTTTAGGACAGAGTGAATACACATACTATATAGAGATGCTGTATGAGAAACCAATGTGAGTTTGGAAAATTGTACAGTATACATTTTAGTAGACCTCAACAATGGAATTATGATCAGTAGAAATGGCCATGACATGGGACCTTTAAAGTATATAAACATGTCACAGTAGAGGCACAAAATAGAAATATGAACATAAGGAGGAAGCAGGGATACATACTGCAACACAGAAATGGTCATAATGCAAGTGTGAGTGGAGACAGACTGACATGCTGAAGTTGGCGATGAAGGCGGTTTTGGGAAGGTCCACTTCGAAGAAGATTTCCTGGGAGGAGTTAGCTCTGTTCAGAGCCTTGGAGGTCATGACAGTGTGGGCGAAACGAGACATCACGGTGCAGTCCAGCCTCACACTGTACACCTCCACCTGAGACAGACAGAGAGGGAGGGAGATTAAGGTGAAGTTGAAACGCCAGTGAAGGAGAGCACTTCACACATCCAGTAGCATTTTTTATACAGTCAATTACTCCAATACTGTTTTTTCAGCTATGGGTCCAGACCACAGCATGACACCCTGATTGGTGCCAGAGAAAATGTTTGGAGAACATTATGTCACTGATTCCACTTTGGGAGTGTGTGTGTGAGTCACTAAACTCCTTTTCAGTCAGTTTAGTTTTTTATAATAATTTTTGGTTGATTGTAAGGAACATATTGAACCTATATGAGCACATTTATTGTTAATTGCCAATGCTTCCTTCAAGCTGTCGCTATGTGTAACCTGCTTGTATATTTATTTTCTAAACTCAAGTATTTTATTTCCTCTGCTTTTGATTTTGTACAGCGTCATATTTTTTTTTCCGAGATTTTCTTCTTACATATTTGCTTGCATTCATTTATAATATAGCATAAGATTCATTCATCCCAAATTGGGATTTTTTTTACAGGTGTTACACATGCATTGAAAATATAATAAATTGTAATAATAAACACGTAGAAGAAAAAAAGAATAAGAAACAATAAATATATATATATCAGCAGTAGAAATGATATATGTCAATATATGTAACCAGCGAGGTAGTGTGGGTGCAGTATAGTATCATTAATAGTTGTATTTTAAATGTTTGATTTAGACATTGTGGTTGCTAAGCCGTTGTATACCGTCTTTACAGCAGTACATGAAGTTATATTGAACTGAATATATATCTTTATCAGTATTAGTATTAACAGAGAATCAAACATTTTCTTACCATGTCCTCATTTGTACTTCTTTTCTGGAACAAAAAAACAAACAGAGAAAAAATGTGATTATTTTGGGATTTTAGAAAATGGAAGAATGATTAATGTTAATTAAGAAAGATCCAACTTTTGCACAATGTTTTCATCATATTATGAAAGGGCTTTCTTTCTCTAAACAGTTTCTGAAAAGTACCTGCAGTGATTTGGCAGCGCCACTTGGCTCCTGAAATACAAATATGCCAGGGTGAACCAACATGGTGCCAGAATATAAGGACCAGTTCATCAGAAATACATTATATTAATTGTAAAACCAAGGATTTCCAAAGTAGCAGTGTTGGTGATAAAGAGATTATTCATAAGAAAACCGATTAGTGACAAAATAATGAACCAGCTGATGAACTGATAGCTTATGTTGGTAAAACAATGTAATTTAAGATAAATTCAGAGTACAAAAAAGTTACAAAAAGTTACCTGCAGAGCTACTTGGTCTCCAGAAATGACCAGAGCCCCCCGGACCAGGCCGGGCGGCCCCAGGCAGGCGCTACCCCACAGCAGCAGCAGTCCAACACCCTGCAGTCCAGACATGATCAAACGTCCACTGAACAGCAGCTTCACTGCTGAGAATAAAGCTCCCTGTCCAGGGGGAGGGACAAAGGTGTGTGTTGTGTGTGGTGTTGTGTGTGTGTGTGTGTGTGTGTGTGTGTGTGTGTGTGTGTGTGTGTTGTGGTGTGTGTGTGTGTGTGTGTGTGGTGTGTGTGTGTGTGTGTGTGGGTGGGTGTGTGTGGGTGGGTGTGTGTGTGTGCGTGTGTGTGGTATGTGTGTGTGTGTGTGTGTGTGTGGTGTGTGTGTGTGTTGTGTGTGTGGTGGGTGTGTGTGTGGTGTGTGTGTGGTGTGTGTGTGGTGTGTGTGTGTGTGTGTGTGTGTGTGTGTGTGTGTGTGTGTGTGTGTGTGTGTGTGTGTGTGTGTGTGTGTGTGTGTGTGTGTGTGTGTGTGTGTGTGTGGTGTTGACCAACAGACCTGGGCTCAATGTGCATGAGGCCCCGGACACCGAAAACATCAGTGAATGTTGACCTGTGTGTGGGAGAGCAACTCCTTCTGGAGGAACATTAGGGATTTTAGCCTTTGCAGACCATTCACATGCAAGAAAACCTATATAACATACTACAGGAAAGGGAAACCCCCAAAAGCATAACAAGAACCCCTTTAAGTTAAACCCCGAGCCTGTTTTTTCATGTCTCAGCCTCGAAAATGACATTCCCAGAACAAATGACCATATCTTCCCTTCTAAAAGGGTTACATTAATCATCTTTTTTCTCAAAGCAAGGTTACACCTGTGAGTTGGATGTAGAAGTGTCAGAATCAATATATATGTTTTTATTTTAAAGTAAATTCAGATTGAACACAGTAAACAAGTGTAAATGATTGTGTCCGTCAAAAAAAAAAAATTACTTATTGAAAACCACCCTTGAATGATGGGTTGGTAGACTAAAAGCTTTAGGAATCCAAACAACATATAATAAGTACCCTGTATCAAGATTGATACAAAACAAGTTAAATGTGACCTTTTCAGAGAGATTTAGCAACAAAAAAAAAACACTTCTGGGGTCATTTGGGTGGATTTTCCCCCTTGGTCGATTTTGATGATTGACATCTCTTTCTAACCGTCAGAGCCAATGGAATCGAGGGGAACTCCCACATACACACACACATTACCAAATAAGGAGTGTGAGTGACGCATAGCCAAAACCGGAAGCTGCGATAACTCTGCCATTAGCAGCTAACTTTTACTTTCCGATTTTTACATAAAAATGGAATTATGGATTATAAATATTTTTTTCAAAGCGACAGACACATTATCAACCTTTGGATTAACCGATTCAGCCGCGTTTTTTTCTCGTTTTAATGCCATTGAACACGTCTTTTGATCAGATTGACAGCTACGGTGAGACGATCTCCCGTAAAAGCTCTGTAAAGGTATACGTGTTGTGATGTCTGTGTTTGCCTGTCGCGAGTTCGGATCGCTCAGTGATGATACTATATACCTAAATAATCTGTGGTACCTCAGCTTTAATCGGATATGTATATGCAGTTACGATAAGTAATAAGGGTATCTTTATCTTGAGTTCTGTGCCAAAGTGTGTTAGCATCTTTCGCTCAGGGGTCATTTAGATGTTACTTATGGGACTTGTGTTTTGTTTTGGTAAAAATGGTTTGTATCGTCAGTTAGCTGAGATTCTTCCCGTTAATCTGGTATGACACATTAGGTTCTTAAATATTAAGATGCCCTGAGACACAGTGTCTTTGGGGCTTAACAGGTAAGTTTGCCAACACCAATCCTTAAGACCGGTTTATTAGTGATAGGTACATTATGTCTACTATAGTTACTATAGCAGCTAGATATATGTGATGCTCCCTGTTATGTGTAGTAAAATAAATACATTTACTAAAATGCTGTCTATGTTTGCTTCATTCAGCCCTCACTTTTCTGCTCTTTTGCCAGTCTCTTTCCCTCAACCACTTGTTTCACTTACTGTAAGTGTGTGTTTGTGTCCTTTCACATTTACCAGCAAGCAGACAGTAGAATAGTGTAGAAAATCAGGCAAACTCTTGCATGTAGATGAATCAGAGCGTTGTGATGTGATACCGGGACAACATGACCACAGAGCACCTTTGAGTGTCAGTAATACATTGCTTAGATTTAACTTGGGTCAGCATATTTATCTCATGTAAACATATAAACAAACAATATTATTTGTATACTTGGGCTAAAAGCAGCTATGTGCTCTCACTGATGACGCTATGTATTTAGCCTTATTATGCTTGCAAACATAATCTAGCAGGAATTTAGTTGATCAAGTTGACCAGTTTACTTGATCAGGTTTACAATTTTTTCATAGAAATTAACCTCTTTTTTATAATTTACTTCCAAATAAAATGTAATACATGGGGATACAGGGGGAAATTATTTATTTGGGAAAAATGTCAGTTTAAAAAAAGAAGAAATCAAATGTTTCAACAAACATAAATACATTTCACAACTCCTTCAGAGCATCAGCCACATGAATCCAAGCCAAGTCTGATGCACTACACAAATAACAAAGTACAAAAACTGTTAACATAGCAGTAAAGTCAACACACCTGGCATAAAGTTAAATCATTTACCTCTCAAATCCTTCTTTATTATATTAAATACGCAGCATCACCATGAGATCATACAGTGTGTTTTCTTCAGTGCTCTTGTCTACTTTCTGAACACACTGGCTCCAGGAGCTTTGGCAGCAGCAGGCTTCCCCAGGGCCGTCTCCGTCCCCGTCCTCACTCCACTGAACACCGACGGAGCCGTTTTGGGTGGGGGGTTGTGCAAGAGTAGCAAGGGGGGGGGGGGGGGTTGGGTGTGGATGGTGTTATATTATATAAGCAAGAGCTCATGTATGTGTTTGTGTGGAGTCCTAACCAGGGGTTACATTAGGATTTGATATGTGGGGGGACTCTGTTTGAAGGGGGGGGGGGGGCATATTTTTGACACACACACACACACCGCTGCAGTCTCACTCTCTGCACGGAGGAGGAGGAAGAGACACAATAAGCCGAACAAACTATATCCGGTCACAGAGATCTGCTATTTTAAAGTGAAGTCAACACATATCGACCCTAAATATAGTCTATATTAAGAAAAACATATATATCGTTTTTTGTAAAGATGGCAAATGTGCGAGGGTGATGACGTCAGAGCATCGTCCTATGTGCCGGGATTAGCCCCGGACAGGCCCGCCCAATAACCCCTGGTCCTAACCTGGTCCTAACACATCAGTCTTTTTACCATACTGATCTTTATTCTGACCGAGTTCTGACTGGGTTTTGAGTTTTTTAGATTATAGAGTAAAGAGTGGTGGTATATGCACTCTCAGCCTTTACGTAGGCTACAATATGTAGCCTTTATGCAATGTCACGGTGTAGCAATATCCTTACAGTCATAGCCTTCAAAACATAGCAACATGATAGTTTCACTAGTGGTCTATATAGCCTACTATAAGGCCTAATTTACAAGGAAATTCGCCTGGTATCAACTGGTATCTTTGCAGATAAATGTTATAGAAAACGCGTCCTTCCTACTAGATTTTAAGTTTTCGCTAATGTTCAGATTGTAAAAAAACAAAAACTCAGCAAACATTTAAACTACGATACAAAAAGCAGGGTGCACCAGTGTGGAACGTTGGGATTTTAGCCTTTGCGGACCATTTACATGCACAGAAAACTATATACTGTAACACTCTACAGTAAAACTATCAAACATTTTCAAATAGATCTTTTGAAAAACAGAAAAGGATATAAAGAAATCCAGCTCTAGTCAATCATTAAGAAAAGTGTCCCATTAATTTCAGTACAATTTATTGAGGTTTATCCCACCTCACACTTTTTTGTGATAGTGTCCATTTTTATAAGACCCAGAATTACACTGATAGAAACTGTGAAACGTTCTATACAATGCTGTGAATGAAGTATGTTTGCCATGGTGTAAAACAGGCATATTTGTTATTGTATGAATTATTATTTATTTGATGGACATTGAGTAGCCTAACCTGTTTTTATACAGTTTTAAAAAGGCCTGAAATAATGTAGTCTGTTGCATCTCCATCGATGAGGCCTGTTCCGTTACTGTGAACGAACCAGCAGGGAACATTTTCTCCATTCTTCACATCCTTCCTGAAGTCTCTCTGCCAGCCTCTGTGGACAGAAATGTACACCAAATTATATCTTAAGTGCATGTATATAGCAACATCGATGTATTCATTTTTAAACACTCATTGAATGCTGACTCTCCCCCACTGAGATGAGGCGTGGGTTAATGCATGCAGCGTACCTGGTCACATTGAGCTCCTGGCCTTTCACATACATGGTGGCGTCCGGTTTTTCCGGGACTTCCCCCGGACGCAGATCTGACACCTCATATTCAATCCCATGGTAGAACTGACCTGCAAGACAAATCACCATTTCAAGTAAATATCATTTTAAAATAAAGGTATTTTGGCCCTGTATCCCACCCCCTATTAAAAATAAAAAAACAACAAGAGGTGGGAGAGTCCAAAACAGTGAAGTCATTTGATAAACCGTACCAATTTTAGCCACTTTAATGTCTTTCACTGACCTTTTTATATTGTATAATATTTTTCCGGTTGCAGGATAAGGTACAATTCTACCTGAGCTGGCAATGCAATGTGTAACCTTTACATGTTGATAATTATTAGTTACCATGTGCACCATATCAGACCAATCATAAAACACAGCAACACATATTATGGAAACACATCCATGGGTTGACTGATTTTGTTGGTGTCAATTTATCTTATCATTATCTTTTTTATATTTGGTCTGCTCTGAGGAGAAACCAAAGTATGTTCAGAAATGCAATACCCATCACTTATCTTGACCTGGTATTAAACTATAAACCATGCATCTATTCTCTGATGTGTGTCATGTTGTACCTAACAGGCCGTGAACAAGAGGGGACAGGAGGTGGCTGTCCAGGGTGTAGAAACCCAAGTAGTCCCGATGATACGGATGCTTTGCCCACACTTTGTGGAGCAGGACGACAAACTTGACCGAATCCTTTAGAGTCACCGTTAGGCTGCGATCCTTGGTC